ACGGAAGAAGAAGTTCCTTCGTTAATACCTGTATCACAGAGAAGAAAAATTTTTGAAAAAACAGCTGGAAAAGGTAGAAGTACTTACCAAAATGCGATAATTTAACCTAATTGGGATTTAGCTTTCAGATGATTGTTTTAAAAGGTTGATTGTCTTCATCAAATTTAAACTGTACAAGTAGACTGTAACAAATGTGGAAGTAATTGACTTCTGAGGTGAAAAACGAAGAGCAACTGATGTGTGAAAATGTTATATGCAGACAAATTTCAGCTCGTTAATTCCAACAACTAATCGCTCTGTGAAAACAAAGACGACGAGTGACGTGGTGCGAGTCGTTGTTATCAAATCAAAGTCTTCAACGACGTACTGATGCTTGCTTAACTTCTGATAACTGATTATAGAATTCAATAAATGCGTCTTTGTAAAAAACTTTATTTTATCGTAGCACCTGTTTGTTTTCATTTTAAAAATGGGTAAATGCAATTCTTTCATAGTCTAATGCTTTTAGAATCGTTTAAAAAAATTATTAACCGCAGCTCTCTGTTTTATATAATTGACTATGGTTGCTGATCTTAAATATTCGTAATATTCTCTAATGGGTTTGAAAATGTCGTTTGAACAAAAAAATTGTTTTATTACTTCTATGCCAGTCAATTCTTGTGTGATCCAAATAACTAGAAAAAACACTGGTTTATTACTTCATTAGTTTTAATAAACCATATTAACTTCAACTGTCTACATTATTTGACCAATTTTATTTTTGATTCTGGAACTCTTTTCAAAATACAACGCATTTACAAGTATATTCGGTTATTATTGCTACAAATTGTGCTGCACAAATAAAATTTAACCCTTATTTATCTCCTTTTTGCTGAAAAAACTGTCTGATAAACTTTTTTTTTAAAGTTTATTTTCTGTACTGGAAATTGCGAAGTATACTTCTAGAAATTGTTACTTTAAGGAGACTAATTCTTTATCTCTCTTAATAAAATTTATATATTATCCTTAAATATTGCCCCGTTTTATACTACAACTTCGTTGCCAAAGGGGATTAAAGCATGCTTTAAACTGTTCAGAGTCGCCTTGCTAAAAAGGTTACGCAGCACCAGAGAACTTCTACTCACTATGAAGAATAAATGCGAGAGCTAAACCTTGATACTATTCATCAAAAACTGTGCTTTGTTTTATGTACAAAGTGGTGTACATTAACTGTAAATTGTTCTAAAAACAGTTTTGGGTATTCATTTTTTATCACACAACCTTTTTCTAACTTTGTTTTTCAAAGCGCTATTCGAGTAATCAGTTTCTTGAGACATTCCTTGAGACTACATGTTTGAGGAAAAAAATTTTAATTACTTAGTCACTGAAATTTTTAGAATTAGTAACCTGTTCTGCTTGGTCTACTATTCTTTTTGAATAGTATAGCATCTGAAATTTTTCTGTCACTGCTGTAGAAGTTGAAATGAGCCTTGAAAAACTGACAATTTGTGTCAAAAATCTCTTCCTGAAGTCTTTTGTCTGGCACAGTTTGTGCTATATCTTCTGTTTAGAGTGTTTATTTTTATTTCAATTTTTTGTTATTTATTTATTTACTATTGGATAGAAGGCAGACCCTTCTTTAATGCCCAGAGACATAAGTACGTAAAGCTAACATATATGAAAAAATAAAATAACAAAAAGGAGAAGAAACTGAGTAGTACAACATTTGAATTTTGAAATTTGTTAGATTTTTTATAAAAACAAGCTATTTTTCAATTTTACTCACATTTGTCAAGCCCAAAAATTGTTTATTTATTGAGCAAACAAGTGCTGAGTGGAAGTAGATGAGCAGTTGATTTAAATAACTGGTCGATCAGTAATCATTTAGAAATTTGGCTATAATATCTTTAGCCTTCTTCTAGTCCAACGTCTTTCTGAACTGCTGTAAATTTGAAGCCGTAACGACTTTATATGGGATGCTATTCAATGTTTTGCCAACAGATCCGTAAAAAACCTGTGTCGAATACTAGTTTTAGATCTCTCGAATTCGACTGCAAGATAGCTTGCTCTCAAATCATAACCCTTACTAAAGAGGTGCAGGAATCAGACAATTTACAGTTAACGTAACTATACACCACTTTGTACATAAAACAAAGCGCAGTTTTTAATGAATAGTATCAAGGTTTAATTTTCGCATTTATTCTTCATGGGGATTAGAAGTTCTTTGGTGCTGGGGAACCTTTTTAGCAAGGCGACTCTGAATAGTTTAAAGCATGCTTAAACCCGCTTTGGCAACGAAGTTGTATTATAAACAGAGCAATATTTAAGAGTAATATACAAATTTTATGAAAAAAGATGAAGAATTAGTCTCTTTGACGTAAAAATTTTTGGAAGTATACTTCGCAATACGTGTTTTCTTCCGATTTACGGCTAGATGATGTCGAAGAAAGAAGAAATTTTATTAATTATGATCTCAGGATGCTAAACGACTCATACTTTGTTCAGATAGAATCCGCTGATATTATATTCAGAATTACTAAAAACTTAATTTAATTTAATTACTCGACATTTTAGAAACGGAAGTAATGATTTCATTTGCTGAGTTCACTTGTAAACCTTTGTTAGGTCAGTCCTTACCTTGTCGACACTCGGGCTATTCCTTAAAAAACGAATGTGTTGTTTACAGTCAACTGCAAAAATGATAGTTCACTATTTCCAACAATCAACAGTAATTTAGTTATGTAGACAGTAGCAAAAGTAGCCCAATAACGCTGCCCTGAGAAGCCCCAGAGGTGACTGCGCATAGGAAAGACTCACAGTCATTTTTAACAACTACTTAAGTTCTGTCCGACTAATGACTCTTGATCCACTACGAGGTCTAACCTTTTGTTAACAGATAACTTAGTAATTTTAACTTTAAAGCAGTTTTGGAAACGCTAAAGAAATCTAAGTAAGCCACTACAACTGCTTTTCTTATACCAATTTCTTTGGTTCAGTGATTTAAACAGGTGAGAACCTACATTGCTGCTGTTTAGAGTAAAAAACACCACTCTCTTCACAGCACTTAATTAAATGAGGTGCCACTATTTCTCCAAAAACTCTACAAGATAAATAAGTGAGATTGACAAACCTTTGATATAAAAACCTTGATTTGTTGCTTTTCAAAAACCGAGAAAGTCTTTTTTCAAGCGTAAATTACTCTGCTTTCATTACAACTAATTGTAAAGAAATAAAACAGCGAAGTAGCCAACGCAAAGAATAATTTGTGAAAGACAGTACTCAGAAAGCCACCAACTCTTTTAGATAATTTAGGAAGAATTGTTTTTTAGACGTCATAAACATCAATTATGTCAAAGTATATCTCAGGTATGTCCTTACACCCTCAATTTACTATGTATGGTGGAGATCCATTATCATCAGTATATACCAAAGCAAAATATCTATTAATCGCTTGTTCTAGATCACTTACAAACAACTTGTTTCTTGGTAATAATAATCTGGTATTAATAATTTTTTGAAAGTTATAATGTCAAAAAAGATCAAAGTTGTTTGGCACTGCTGCCACTAATAATCGCTTTTTCTTCTTTTTTGAAATGCAAATTTAGGTTACTCTTCTGAAATTTTAAAGCCTGTTTGTACAACTTTCCATGAAGCGTCTTATTTCTCGCTATTTTTACTAAAAATGGTACTTTGGTGGTTTTCTCCTATCTTTTGATCAATATGTTGACAATTTATTCTTAATCACGAAACTTCAAAAGTACCAAAGTAGGTCATTCAAAAAAAATTTAAAAAACTGAAAATTTTTCTTCTTACGCCAAATAGCAAGAACAATTTTTCCCAATTTTTGCTGGCTAGAGCCTCAGTAGCAACACCATAATTTGTACCCCAGTGGCTTGATTTCTTCTGAAGAGCACCAGATGACCTTTTTTTTTTGAGAACTGTCACAAAACTGCAAGATGACCAAATTGTGATCCCCACTTGCTAACAACCATCTAACCGCTAAGTAAGAGCTAATAAAAAGTACTATATTCAAAAAACGATTTCTTCTTAGTAACTAAGAATTTATTTTAATGAGTATGTGTTACAGAAATCCAAACAGACAGAGGTGAGAAACATATCCTGGTTGAACAGAACGAAATTGCCATTTTAGTAAACCGATCACTTTTATCACTGCGATCAGTTGCAGGCCTAAAACCAATGCTTCTTTCTTCACGTGCAGATTTTCTTGTAATGAAGGAAATGAGTTGTAAGAGTATTAAACATTTTCAACATTTTAAAGCAAATTGTTGAAAACAGAAGCAATGTTTCCTAATGTTAATACCATTTCGTTTCAAAACAGTTGTATGATACAATCTGGAAAAAAATTTTGAAGTGTAGTATCCAGTTTTTTCAACAATTCTGAAAATATTTTTTTCGAAATTTTAGTTTAAAGAGTGGTAAAGACTTCTGATCAACTTTCATCCTACAAGTTTTTACGGCTTACTTTTCTTCACTTTAAAAGGAACCTGCTAAACGTCTCTTGACTATCCTTCTTCTTGCGAGCTGTATTAGTCTATTTAAAACAGACGACTACATTAAAAAAAATCAAATAGAAGTAAACGAATTGTACTGCTCTGAAAAGCTGATTTTATCTTTCATATATATCATCAAACAGTTATTGTTACACAAAAAGAAAAAAAATTAATTTAGATCGAGAAGAATAAACTTTATTCTTCTTAAGAAAAGTTGTTTGGCATTTTGAAATTGTTCTTTTTTTGCAGCAGAAAAGCTTAGCAAATACCTCTAGAGTTTTGAACAGTGCAAAGCCCTTAAACTCATTTTTTGAAGGTAACAAGGAAAGATTCACTTGAATTGTTTGCACAAGCGTTGGCGCAACAATGCGGTAATCACAAATTGTATTGTGGCCCAATTACAATACGGTTATTGGGATCTTGTCCATAAATTGCACACATAACGTGATCAGCATAAGTACTTGTTTGAAATGATTGATAATCAAAAAAAATACTTTTGTACAAAAAAATTTAGTCTTTTACGTTGGGTAGTCTATGACTTTCCGTGAAGAAACTGTCCACCATATAAGAACACGAACCACTGAAAGTATTTGAGAATAATAGCAAAACCTCAATGGAAATAGCAAGCAAAAACACAAGAAAGTGAACTTGATACATTTAATTCAGTTCGATTACTCAAAAAAGTTTATTGGGCACAGCTCAACGAGAGATTTTACCTGCCAGAATCTTTTCTTTGCTTCTTCACAGCAGCCGTATTCCATTCAGACTCATTAAATTCGTCAGAGTCTTGTGTTGAAGCGTTAGGCGTTTTATTGGATATAATACGTCTTCTAGCATTAATAAACCTTAAAACGGCTGCATACTCAGTTCTATCTTCTTTTTAGCGTTATTAATTAAACTAAAGAGAAAGTTGCAAATTATGACTGCTTCTCAACTGTTTTTCTGGTATTCTTTAAAATATTATTAGCAAATCAGGTGGTTTTTGAAAAAACTGTTTTTTTTTTTTTTGAACGAAGAACCAAGAGGAAAACTTTATTAGTATTGTATAACAAAAAAAGAAAAGAAAAGGAAAAGCAATACCAATTATTAATCTGCGTAATGTGCAAACCGGTCTCCGTGGAAAGTTCACATTTTTCGTTATCGGTGGGATATGGGTGCTATAAATGCGGTTTGGTCAAACAATTTCAATTTTGTTACTTCACTACTGTCTATTAATATTTGCTGCAAGACAAAAAAAAAAAAAAGCCAAAAAACAACGAAAACATAAACTGTACTTTCTCAATAAACGCTTACTGCAGCATGCTGATAAAACCAAGTTTTAAGAAGATCGACGGCTTTGGGTGGTAATTTTCTCTTCAACTCATTTCGCTCATCGTCTTCGCTTATCCTCTGCGGCCGAGTATCACCACCGGGTCCGCTACAACGGTTAGAGTGTTTTGAATTCTCTTTTGCCTAAAAACATGCTGACTGTGGTTGAAGCAGTACGAATGAATCAGTTCTATAACGCCACTGTTCTTTCAATGTGCACTATAATAAACAGGAGGAATTAAGCGACTAAAAAGAGTTCAGCATAACTCAAATTTACTTTGGGTTTTGGTTCTCGTTGCAGAAAAAAAGTTGACGACGAGCTGGAACCTGGACCTACAACTGGACCACATAATTGCGGCGACGGTAAACCAGAAGCATTAAAAAACCCCAACGGTATCGTCACCTAAAAATTTTTGGACAGTTATTGGTGCCCGGTATAGAGCTTTTAAAAGCAAAATTTTTTCCCTTCACGACTTGCCTCTTGAAAGCTTATCTTACATTTTTCGTTTTTGGATATAATCAAAAGCATGCTTATCAGTTTTACAACGACTAAAAAATTTTCCGATTCTTTAGTTTCAAAGAGAAGGATCACAACCAAACTTTTACGACAGAAAGAATAAAAACTACAGTACTGCTGAAAAACAGCAAAAATCGCGCTTGACAGCAGTAATAGCCGGCAAAATTGGTAATTTTTCAAATAAGAAAACAAATTTTAGCCCCAAAATTTGTTATCGGTGAGTCATACCAATGAAGATTTTATAAAGATATCTGGTTTAGTAATAAGTTTTCTTTCTCAAAAACACTACAACTCCAAACATTCATTATAAAAAAGATACATAATTTGGTAATAAAGAAACCAAGTTGGAAAACTTGCTGAGAAGAAGCACTGTCAAGAAAAAGCACCTTGTAAATGTTATTAAAAAACTTTGACTGCCAAAAATGACTTAATATTTCTATTAGATTTAGTTAACGATGAAAAAGCAATCCTTTGCGTTCTGTTTAAGACAGGCAATAAGATCGAGTGAAAGTGGCAAGATACTTCAACAATAGTTTCGAAAATTCCTTGTCGTGAACAAAGTGGTAGTGGTTTTTGGAAGAAGTCAGATTAAGCAATCGCTTATACTAAGAACTCTCAAAACGAACCATGCCGTTAGCTGTTGCTAACATCGCTAAAGTACTGTTTCTGGCTTGCAAATCGGAGAAAAGACGCTGAAACGGTAAAGAGTTTGAAAAGCCAATTACAATCCCAAATCTGGTATAACATAATATCACTGTTAGCACAATCTGGGCAATTGAAAGAGAAAAGGGATAAAAAACCTTTTTTCCTGCAGTCAAACTTTTTAGTTTTGTTTCTAAAAAACAGAGCATATTTATATATATATCTCAAAAAAATTTTTCAATTTGAACATACTATTTGAAAAAAATCCAGAGCTAAGTAGATAATTCAGGTATTATTTGAATGCAAACGTGATACTCTAAATTACTTTTAAATTAGAAAAAATTTCCGGAAAGTCTTTGAGGTGTTAGTGAAATATACCTGTTCATTGAATATTAAGGGTCCTGCCTGATAAGCGGAGTCTTCGTCACTGTCACCACTTAGCCCAATCATTGTTTCTTGATTGATCTTCTTCTTGAGAGACTCTAAAAAAAAAAAACAAAAAATTGTTAAAAATTCAGGATTAATAATACAGAGCTG